TCTATGATTGCTTTTTGAAGTGATGGTGACAGGTATGGAAGTCACTAAGTCTATTAGATGTGGAGGGCTCGTTCGAAAGCATGGACGCAATGCTAGCCGTGAAAATGTCTTTGTTAATAGTATATGAATGCTTGGTGTATATATCATAGCCGCAGATAAATCAAGCAGTGTATGATCCAGGCTTATGCCCATCACCCTAAACGGAAGAAGAACTTAAATCTAGCAGTTCATTGATCTGGTACAAATCTGTACATGAGCCCGGCAGGGCTAAAGAATATCAAAACAATTCATCAACGCCAACAATGAAAACAACCATTCTTCTACCGCTGCTCGAATGCACCTTCGGTAACACGTTGCGTCTCGTTCGCCTCAGCGGCATCACCGGTGGGTTCGAGGGGGTAGCTGGTAGCGGGGAGAGACTTAAGGTATGCACGGTGCTGCTCGTGGGCCTATAGATCATTTATCAGCGGGCCCATGCTCCAAATCCAGAGGAAGAACTCACAAAAGGAAGACCGCAGTAGCCGCAGGTAGCAACCTCGGGCTTGTCAGTGTTAATGAAGACACGGGGGTGACCCAATGGGCCGCCGCCTCCGTCACAGCTGACGATTCTCTTGTTGGTCCAGCGCACGGGCTGCTTGTGGATAAGTTCGATGGCGGCCATGGGTTGAGGCTAGACGAATCCATGTTAGATATACATGTCATGCATTGACACTCCAATCAGTTCCCGCCAAAAAAGTTCGCTACGCACCTGAAGCTCCATAATGGTCTGCTCAAAACGAGGACCGGTCATAGCCTTTTCCCGAGGCTGCTGGCTAGCGGCCCATGTAGTGGCACGGTTGGGGGCCTGAAGCTGGCGGTTACGCTCGCCGGCCTCGGGCTCCTCGCTCAGGGGAGCATCCCATACACCCTGCGAGTCGGTAGGGGTAGCATTGGTGGCAGAGACATTGGGCTTGGGAGTTCGCGGGGTCGGGTCGTTGGCTTGCATGTGGTTCTCTGTCAGGCGAGGCACGGTTGTCGAGTAGCTGGCCCGGGCGACGAAGCGGGGAGTCCACGCCGTGGAAAAGGCCGCGACGCGGCTTCGAGCACAGGACAACATGCTGGGCAATCGGGGTCCCTGGTGGCACAAAGGAAAGGTGTGTTTTGGGCGGCGGAGGGCGGAGGTTGTAAGTCGGGATGAAGGGTGAGGTTTGCGGGAGCTCGCCTGGCCGCTTGTTTGACCAATGGGAGCTGCCCCTGCGGCTGTTACGGCGAAATTCTGCCGCTCGCAGTGAAATAATTTCTTGCCTATTACGGTCACTGTTTTTAATGTGGTTGTTGTTTCTGTTTTGAAAAGGTCTCACTCGTCAAGCCAAGCAGGAATTGAACCAAGTACTAGGTACCTGCTCAAGGGTCGGGTTCTGATTCACGACTTCTTTGCTTATGTTATTTGCGTCCTCCTCTTTCATTTAAGAAGCGTCATCATGCCTCCATCTACGTCCTCAGGCTCTAAGCCGGAAAAAACCATGTCGTCACGTTTACTAACTATGAAGGTGTGCCAAAACCAATGTCCTCTACAGTTTGTTTCTCGACTCGGCTGATCAAGTTTGTGCAGTTCATGCAACGAGCTGCTGCCACCGCTGCAAGCAAAGAAGTACCCCAGACTTCCTCCGCCGAAGAGTCCACCACTTCAACACCGAAGCGACCAAGACTTTCGAGCGAGGGCGTATCGCAGAGTCCCGGTGCAACACCATCATCAGATTTAGAAGCTATCTCGGCTGCTCTCGCGGCCGAGGAAGAGAAGCGAAGGGAAGCCGTCGCCAGGCAAGCTGCAGATGCTGGCGAAACCGAATGGGTGCTCGACTACTCTGGCGCTGAAGATACGGGCAATGAGTATGCAGCACAACCTCTTATCATTGCCGCGGACTCTTTAGACGCGGACGACGAGGATCTGGCCTATGGTGGCCGACAGGCGTATGGAAATTTCAAGCGCAAAAACAAAGTCGAGGTTCGTGATTGTCTTCGGTATACTACGAGTATATGTAGCTGACAGTGCCATCATCAGCATTCCGATGCTAGCGCAGATCCCACAGATCCTGAACAGATTAATTCCATGATCAACAAGGCGAAACAAGACGCCAGACAGAGACCTGTGAAATTGTCCCAGCTATCAAGTATTTCTGGAGGTCGTCATAGCTTTGGTGGGGGTGAAAAATCGCAGAGGAAGCGCAAGCATAAATAAACGGTCTACCGACGACGAATTCCGGTTTCAAATGGACATGCTCACTGCTCAAGGGTGCGCTAATCATGGCCAAACGATGCTGAATCTGGCTTTTCTGTCTGCCTGCCTCCAGTAGTCGTGCGCTCAGGAAAACAGCACCGGCCATGGCTCTGGGAGGCTTAGCTTCTTGCACATGGAATAATTCGCTGCTTCTTTTTCGGATTCCTCGCAGATTATGGGTACACCTTCACTACTTAACGAACACTCGTGAACTTGACCAATAGACCCGAATCTTCGAGTCATCCGAAGCAGTGAAAGAAACGGAACGAATTGCGATTTTCAGTTGCACATTCTCCAGCAACGTTGGCATGATTTCCACAAAATGCGGCGCTTTTGCGTCGTACGGAGAGCACCTCGTGAAATCCTTCAAGGTCTCACACGGCCGAGACTGCAATGCTGTAAGAGCCTCATCTGAGATTGACTTCTGCTTTCCATGGGTTAGTGTTGTCAATGCCAAATAGCGACCACCTTACTTGAGCAGTGGGATCTTTGGGATCGCCAATCGATTGATATTCTCTTTGATGGGTTGGAAATGACGCTGCAATGCGCATATCTCCGTCAACAGGTCTTTTGATATCCAGGCCCAAGGGACACACACCCTTTGGCAAAGCTGAGCGTGCCTTGTCAACTCGCAACGTCACTCGAACCAGGCGAGATTGCTCCGTCTCAAAGTCTTCCATACGGCGAAAACAACGGCAAGTCATCTTTTGTGGGACTACCTCTGAGTCTCAAATCCAATTGAACTATAGGAGCGTGAGACAGCGACGGGTACAATGATGACCTTATAAATTTCCAGCACTTTGCGGTGCAAATTAGTTTAGCTCGAGTTGCTATGTTTTTAATGATGGCCAGCATGACGGACTTGAAGGAGAGAATAGTTGCGCTTGCACCTCCCAATGACCTGCTGTTTGCCAAAGCAAACAAGACAAGCGGATTCAGAGAGATCAGCCCATGTCAATCCGACCGGGCTTGTAAGAAAACCCTGTCCAAAACACCCAGCGAGACTCATTTCTCAAACATGCGTTTGCTCAATCCGAGCTATTTGTATTACAGAGTCTATAGTTACCTCTAGAACGCCGCACAGATCCCCTGAGGCTTGCTTTTAATCCCGCAGCCATTTACAAATCAATAACTCTGTAGACGAACAGATCACCTTCTAAATCATAACTTGGCCTTCTCTTCCTTCTCTTTCTTCTGCCAACTCTTTCGCGTCGCAAAGTTCACTGCCAGGTTCCAAGCCGCGATGCCTACACCCAACGGCGGTGCCAGCAACAGAACCCACGCCCACCACTTCGGGCTGGATGCTCGGATCGTCTCCATCGCCTTACTGACCTCCCTCTCCAGGTCTGCCTTATCCCCATCATTCCACACAATAACCCCCCTCGCCGACCCAGTCCCCCGAAACTCCGCCTTCTCAACCTTCCCACGAACATCCCCCTGACTCCTCACCCTATTCTCCGCATCCTCAGCCGATAAATGCGGATCCCGCGCACGCAGCCGCGCCATCTGCACCGCCGGATCCCTCACGCCCACAACCACCACCGTCCCACAGATCAAATCCATCCCACTCTCAAACAACAGCGGCACGTCAAGCACAACGGCCCAGTGGCCGCGCACATAGTAGTACATCAGCGCCTTGTAGATCTCCCACCGCACCGCGGGGTGCACGATCTTGTTGAGGATCATGCGGTCGCGCTTGCGCTCCTCGCTGGTCCCGAACACGCGCCGGCCGAGCGCGGGCCGGTTCAGTGGTCGGTGTGAACCCGTTGGATCATCGTCTGAAGCTGGGAGGAGGAGGTCGGGCGTGCTGGGGCCGAAGTAGTTGACTATTGCTTTGTAGGCTGGGGTGCCTGGTTCGACGACCTGGCGGGCGAGAAGGTCTGCGTCGATGATGGGGAGGGAGTACGGGGGTGAGGAGAGCAGGGTTGAGACGGTTGATTTGCCGGTTGCGATGGAGCCGGTTAGGCCGATTATGAGCATTTTGGGGGGTTTGGTGCTCCGGTAGACAGAGGGGGAGATTGTGCTCTGGCGGAGGTGAGGTGGGTCGACGTGGGATAAATCTATTGTCTATTGTCGGATGGGCTCATGAGTTGTTGGATTAATTGAGCATGTAGGTCGTAAGGATGCTGTTGTTATGAATGATGACGTTGAATATCTACAAAGAAGAGTTGGAGGAGCTTTCGGGATGCGGGGACTCCCGTCAACCTCGGCCGAAGTACCTTTGTGCAAGCTGCTGGCTATCACGTTTACAACTGGGCTTGGTAGGAAGAGTTGACTGATATTTGAGTTCTCATGCATGTCTTTCATAAGAGTAAATAGGTATCATCGAGAAGGATATTACAAAACTATCATCATACTTTTCGTGAGGCTGCACAGGTTCGTACAGAACAGCCTATGTGGTTCCGGCAATTCAAGGCTTCAAGGGAATCGAGACACCAAACTTCTCTCAGAATCGATCGTATCTGTGACGACAAATCCAGCCCCTGAAGATGATGTACCGGAGCGCGGCCATGTCAATTAAGCTCCCCTAGAGCTCGAGGACGTTCCATTGGTTGACTTAGACTGGCACGTCCCTTGAGCCAGCTTGCAGTACAGCCAGAATGAACCAAAGTCGAGTCCAGCTCTCAGCGGGTGCAGCACTTCTACTCTCCAGCCGCGGCAGTACGGTGAAGTCTGCTTCTTAAGAGCACAGGTACTCGACAAAGGACCGGAGCTAACTCAGATAGCAGTAGCAAATCTAAGCTTAGGCTGGAAGTCCTGTACTGGGATCTTGCTGCTGGCCCTTCCAACCTATGTACGGCCAACCCTGTGGAAGAGTTGAGTAGGGCGGCAGCACATAGCGCCCAGCGCATTCCCTTTCGTTTGGACATGTCAGATCGCATAAACCGAACACCTTGCAATAGCATTCTTCCGCCGTGGGGCAGTGTACTGGTCCCTGGCCAAAGATCACTGATAGCTGTTAGCACCGCGTTTGCTTTTTAAAGACACTCTGACTCAGGGGTCGGGGAACCTACTATGCCATGAGTACTCCATTATTCGTCCACTGAGATCATCCTTGAGGGGCGTCTCAGCCAACCATTTCCTGAACCGCACATAGTCACTCTTGGGCCGTTCGCGGACCTTCCAGCTTGTGACTCCAAACTGCGCGCAGCATGACACTCCAACCTCGTCTGGTACGTCAACCCCAGGAAACAGCTCGATGAAGCCCTTTTTGAAATACTCCCCCGCATGCACGTCGTCACGGTGCGTATCGGTGTGTGGGTGGATCTCCGCCGGACATCCGAGAGTCCAAGCACAGCGCACATTGACATAGCCTTGCTTTTCGAGATAAGGCACTTGGAAACGACGAAGCATCGGAACTCCATCATAGTAGGGATCGTCGTTGTGCCATTGATAGCGCTGCGAGTGGATGAAAAGCATCACGTCGGGTAGGTGGTCATAATTATCAATTATGTATCTATCATCCGCCGTCAGAACTAGCCTTCACGCAATAAGGTAACGGACCGAAGCAAAGCACATACGTCAAATATACCATGGACTCCCGTCCTTTGTTCTGCGCCACGGTCAACTCCGCATTCCTATCGTCGACCACGTAGACACTCTTATGCCAGTCGGGGAAATTCTCGAACAACCATGAGGTATTATCACTCTTCATGCTCGCGACCACCATATCTTTCTCAATTCTCTTGTTGTCGTGCGACGGGGATGCCTGCCCCGAACGCGAGTCCCGGTTCGCCCCTTCACCGTGTACCGCATTATGAACCGAGACCGCCGACTCTCGGTCTCCGGAACTTTTCGAAAAGAACAGAAAGTATAGAGCGTAGACGATGAGAATTGTGACGAGGATCGCCTTTTCCTTACTGCGACGGCGCGGGCTCTGGACTCCGCCGCCGAAGAACAGCATGGTTGCAGACGTAGATGAGTCCCTGAGAGTAGGGCTTTAGGGCAATTCCGCTATTACTGATCACAGAAAGAGTATCAGCAGCATGGAGCAGCGACCATCGCGGCGTGTTGAAGAGATGTTGAGAATGCGCAGAGTCGGCTGCCCGGCGGAGTTGGACAGGCTTCGAGGGTGGATTCAATTGCGTAAAGACATTCAAAAGGAATGGGCGCTACTGGTCGTTAATCATGACAGAATTAATATTAGATTCAAACAAATGAGCTCTCAGTAAGAATGCACTCCGTCGAGCCAGCTTTCACCACCCGATGATCAGAGCGAGTGGACGAAGCCGGGGATAAACTCCAGGTGTCCAAGTCCAAACCAAACAAACTTCCCCAGAGCCACACATGTCCACTATGTGGATCCAGAGATCTGTAACTCTGTACAGTTTATTTCTACCAATTTGACATGATCATGAGGAAAACTCCATTAGAAACTGGTTGCATTGGCAAAAATAGGTCATCAATGTCATTTCCTCATTCATGAGCCCAAGCCTAAGCTATCCCGGCCCTTTTATACTATCCAAAAGATGTTTATATACTGCGCTTATGGACAACCATCAATATGGCCAATATACCAATTATGGGCCTCAACGCTGGTAAAATCCTCTCCCGCATTTCCAGCGCTTGAGTCAATTCCCTGGACGACCGTGATATCAGACGTCGTGACAGGCGCGTCGTCGCCGCTCGTGATCCAGTACTCCGGGCTAATGTGGCTGAAGCCAAAGGCTCGGGGCGGGAGTCTGGGGACAATATCGTTTGTGTGTGTGACACGGTAATTGGAACTCTGTGCGGTGATGAATGTTGCCAAGGCCGTGTTTCCAACACGGGGTGATCCATATCCATACTTCACAAACCAATTAGTCCCATTACGCCCTTACATAAGTTGGCAAGGGATGACTTACCAGCTGAACGGGTATCCCGGCTTTCCGCAACGTAGCAGCCCCCAGTGTTGCAAGAGCAGCGCCAAAGCTATGTCCAGTAAAAACAATTGTATAGCCAGGGTAGGCTGCAACGGCAGAGTTGAGCTCGGTCGTCAGCGCATTGGCAACGACTTCCCAGGACTTCCAGAATCCCGAATGTACCGAGCATCCGCTGCAAACATCACTGATACTCTCCAGACCGAAGTCCAGATTCGCAATCCAGGTGTCTATCGTGCGACTTCCTCTGAAAGAGACCACAAGCAGCTTGTTTGTGGTGTCTGCAACCAAGAAGCCTGCCACGTCTCCATACGAGGAGGAACTACCAGCTCTGTTAGATATGCAAGCTACTCATGCATGGGATCGACCTACTCGTAGAACTCTGAAAGGGTCTTGGTGTTGGCTGCCTCGACCAGCGGACAGTTCCCAGTAGAGCACGTCAGCTTGGTGCCCGTGGAATTGATATTGTTGGTACAATAAGAGGCAGCAGAGTATTGTGCAAACAATGACAATTCTTGCAGCACCGACGAGGACACAGCTACTTAACAGTTAGCACCACACATAGCTCAATCTTAGGAAGCGTCGGACATACCTCGCTCCGCCAACCTTGCTGGCGCCGCAGCACCCAGCGCAGCAAACGCCGCAACAGCCAGCGTACAGACAGACTTCAATTGGATCATAATGCCGAGCCTATACTCAAGACAACCCTTTCAGAGATAATGTAGGCAGACTCTGCGCGATAGGCCCCCAGAAGACGACGCGACACCTGGATACCCATCCTCAGCGATCCTGAAGGAATGCGGAGAATTTATACTCTGCCGGAGCCCACATAACCACTCATAGCCGTCCTCTCCACTCTCCAATGTTATCCCGACTTGCTTGTCAGCCGAGGGCATTCCTCGCGAACAATCCAGGGCGGGGTAGGCCCAGTCAGCCCTCAACCAACCGGCATCATTGCAAACAAGGGGCGGCGCTTCTCTCGGGCAATCTGACACATTCCTGGTGACTTCCCCATTCCTCGCTGACTCAAATAGGATGTTGGCCCGTTCGCCGACCATGGAAAAAAGAAAGTAGTATCTGCTAGGTACTACTCCGTATGCACCAATGGCGGGACCATCCCCGCATCCTGCAGAAGCCCCAGCCGTTCCAAAGACCAGAAAGGTGTGAAGAACGCGGAGATCAGTAAACCAGGCTTGACAATGTGGACCTGATTGGTCGAATTGTGGTTTTCCAAGGAACGTAGTCCCTCGGTGCCCGGCCTCCGGCAAGAGAAATCAATCAATAAACTTCGTGCCTGACTCTTTAGCAGTGACGAGTGACGAGAAAGATGGCTGGCGGCTAGCGAGAAATGGCTCACGCCAAGTTCCAGGCCAAATCATCCTACTCCGTGATACTGAGGAATTATCCCGGCGGTGTGAATGGTCGATTGCATGAGATAGCAACTGAATGGTGGAAGATTTCCTCGTTGCTTTCCCTGGCGCAGGGGAATGGCCAACCATATGGATTGTCTTATATGAGGTGTCGTCACGGAGCATGCATGACGCAGACTGAGCCTTGATATCTAAAGTAGATAGCGTCGGCATATAAATTCCAGCAGTCCTCATGACCAGGTAGGAGCTGTGGAGCACATGAAGCCGAGACTCGAGATAATTGACTTGCCGCGTATATGCAATGCAACACTACATATGCCGTCCCGCCTTGACCACTACGTGGTGAGGTACTTTCCACGTGGTACTAGAGTGTACGAGGCTACTCTGGGATCCCTTCCAGCTTTCTTCTAGACACGAACATCTGTGATTCACTGACAAGCCTGATTTTGACTTCTAAAGGACACCTCAAACCCCATCAATTGATGCTCGAGATGCAAATTATCCGTAATACCCAGGGAAGTAAAGAAAGAGGAAAAAGAAAAGCATACATTCGCTCCTTGGAACGCCGACCATGTACATTAAGAAATCATATCTGTCTTTGATGGCAAAGCTAGATGGGAATTACTAGGCGAGGGAGTTTCACTGCTGTAATCGAATCAGTTTCTACGCTTGATGTCCAAGAAGGCAATTGAACCAGAAAGATATTATGTCAACATACCGGACCATTCAATGGGCTGCAGGGCCCTTGGTGGGCTTTAATGCTATCACTGCGCGTTTTCCCCTCCATTCTCCGCACCTTCAGTGTAGTCCGTCATACCAGCGTCCTGCCCGTCGTTGGTTTCGCCAACGAGAACCTTGGTCCGCAGGGTCTGGTGCTCGGGCAGAGGCGCCCCGGGTGTGGCCGCGACAACATTGTCGTTCTCGTCAACAAACTCAAAGTTATAGCGGGATAGCAGATGCGGAATGGCAGAGAGTTGCGGGCCGTAGCGCGCCGTATTGTCGTACAGCTCGAATAACGGCACAGCGAGCAGCTTCATGTTCTTCGGGACCGAGAGGACCTCTATCATGTTGCGGCTGGTTAGAACTCTCCTAAAAAGTCGAAGAAGGCCTAGTGAAAATCTGCAAACTTACTCTTCTTAGGCAGCTGAATGAAGTACAACTTCTTACACTCCTTAGGCCGCGTAACGTGTCCGGGGAGAAAGGGATACATGAAAGTCTCGAAATTCGGCCGCCACCACTGCGCAAGCGTATCACCGATCTCCCAGTCTTCATTGACGCCTTCCCCTGAGAATTGGGACCCCACCGGCGCCAGACGCTCGTTCAGTCGCTTCTTGAATCCTTCAACCTCGTCATCCTCGAAGTGAAGATAGTCACCTGGTCTTTAGCACGCGGAGCATTAGTTTAAGTTCGTTCGCTGAGTCTGGGTAACAGTTTCGAGTTGGCGCTCGAGACGAGCCCAGCTCGAAACCTAGCACGACGTACAGCTTGAAGAATGCATTGGCGATCTGCAGCATCAGAACATGAGGATGGTTGTGTTCATGGCAGACAAGGACACCCTCGCAGGTTCGGCGCATGCCATGTTTCACGTAATGTTCCTCCAGACGCTTTAAACGAGCTAGGACTGAGGGATCCTCTTCAGGTTGTGTCTCCTTGGTACCGAATGTGTAATTGGAAAGGGGGTATAAACGGATAGTTTTGGGTTGCTGTGCGGAGAAGTCCTTGGGACTGATAGGTCTGATAGAAGTTATACAATCAGTATAAATGACGAGCGCAAAGGAAGACAGGCAATAGAGCCCCAAGGCTTAAAGAGGACAGGGTCCAAGCCAGACTCACGGATGAGAGCTTCGCATCGATGTCGCTGTAGTTGTTGACATTTTGAGGAAAGTATATTAACAGGATCCAAATTTGTTTTCTGTCGTCCAGCAGGCGAGAGGTTCCTTTGGAATTGGAGGTGTTTATATGTAGCTTGCTTGTCGCATGTCGAAGCTCTGTTATTGCGCAGATCGGAGCTGTCCCGCGAAAACGTTCGGCCGGATTCCGAGACATTCCTAAAACCTAACTACGTGAGACCAACCTTCGATGTCGACCACTGAATCAGATTTGTCTTCGGTAGATATTCCTGAGATGTCATTCATATCGGGGAATATCCGCGAGATTGGCGACTATCCCGGCACAGTCTAACAAACGACGCTGTAGAGGTCAAAGGTAGTATTGACGAGTCAGGGAAAGCACTACGCTACACGGCAGTCTTTCGAATGAGGGTTGGATCAATTCAAGGATTCCTCGTTGCTACAGCATACCCTTGCAGTCTCCAGTGTACAGTAGAGAGCCTTCGTAAGAGGAAAAGAAGTACATTGTATAGCAAGTCCAAAGAGTTCGACAGAAACGAGGGAATGCAAAACTCCACTATTCAATCGCCTGCCATCATCACGCATTGAAGTTGTCCAAGATAGCCAGATCCTTGATCTTCTCCCAGATTGCATCGATCCGCTTCACAGCATCTGCACTGAGAGGACCCCTCTGGATCGCCGCGACCGTCTCCTCAAACTGACTGATCTTAGAGGCTCCGACCAAGACCGCATCCCCTAGATTTTGGCGAATATGCGAATGGAAGAAGACCCACCGGTAGGCCAGCTCTGCCTTGGTGATTCCCTCCGCGGCCGCAATCTCAGCCCAATCATCCAGCGCCTCCAGCATTGCAGGCTTATTGTACAGCTTATTATAGACCTGGCCAACCATACTGTTTGGATCCCAGCGTCCCTCGCCGCCAGCGAGGAGCTGCTCTTTCGTCTTGGTCAGAAACCCACCGGCAATGGGGCTGTACGCGTAGAAGCGGATGTTGTTTTCCCGGAGGACGGGCAGTAACTCCGTCTCGATCCGGCGGGCTATGGCGTTGTAGTTGCCCTGGTAGACGGAAGGGAGGACGTAGCCCTTCTCCTTGGCGATGCGGACGACCTCCTGCACCTCCTCCGGGCGGAAATTCGACAGACCAAAGTGCTTGAATTTTCCTGCCTTGTGGAGCTCGTTGATGCCCGCGAGGGTTTCCTCGAGGGGGACCTCGCGGTCCGGCGCGTGAATATAGTAAACGTTCACCTATGATCGCGGTCAGTCCGTGCAATGCAAGTCAGATGAGAAATGGAAGCGAGCTTACACTATCCGTGCCCAGCTTTTGGAGACTCTCGTTGCCGACTTTGATCACCTGGTCTTTGGTGGAGGTTCCGGGGACGAAGCCACCAGCGACCTTGGTGTCAATGACGAAGCGCTTCGCGGCATTGGTTTGTCCCAAGAGTTCCTCGCTTGTGCCGTAGATCTGTGCGGTGTCGATGGCCTTGACGTTGTTCCGTTCCAGGACTTGAAGGAACTCTTCCACCTTCTCCGGGGTGGACCACGCAGGACTACCGAAGAGACCACCGCCAAAAATTATCTGGGCGTGAGAACTGGCCATTGTGTATTACGATCAAGGGGATTGCCTGAAGCAGATCTGATTCTGAAGAAGATAGTGTAGATGTATATGTTGATGGATTGAATCTGTCATGGAAAACGTCAATCGGCTTGGTATTTATACATTGCTCAATGGCCAAAGTTGCGTGGGAACTTGGACATTATCCAATTGTAAAGTCCGCTGATCAAGCTTATCTCCATACATGAAGTGTCTGAATCGTCAATTCGATTGCAAGAGATGGAGCCATTGTACATGAAGTAACCAATTGTAGTGGTCTAGGATGGAAGAAGATGATGATGCAATGGAGAAATGGAGAGGTAATCGGATTTGAAATCAACCTTGAATACGACTCGGCCAATCACTGCACGATCTGCGTAGCCTCTACGGGGTCACCTACTTTTAACTAAATGCTTAGGACAAGCTGCAGTACTAGTAGCTATAAGGTGGCGAGGTCCCTTGCCTATACGATGGGCCCAATCAATGTCCTTAATACTTGGAGCCTATTCTTACATCCGAATTCCGAGTTGCATACGGACTCATTATTGATCACTTTGACACCATCGGTAACGGATGGCTTTGCTCCCGCACTGTTTGCTAGCCATCTGATCTTGATTTGTAATGAAGGTCCGACATAGAAGCATCCAGAAGATCTTCTGTGAGTTGAAGACGGGTTAGGAGGCGGTCGGGCTTGATCAAATCATGGTATACTGTTAGAGAGCATGACAAGTTACAATTAAGATACACTAATCCAATATTATGGGACCATCTTCACTATAGTCTAGCAATCTAAATGAATAGTATATTTGTGATACAATTGCCCAACTCTTAGCTGCATCTACCAAACCTGGAAGCACCATGAACCCCCGGAAATGCCGACCTCATGCAACATACCCAGCAAATGCTTAATAGGTTGAATTAAATCACATCTATCACAAACACCGGAGAATTATACTTCTGAAAAGATATCAGAGCTTGGCGTCGAAATCCTCAAACTCGCTAATATCTGTGACCGCGATGGGTCCAGCGCTCATAACCATGCGTGCCTTGAACTCGGGCACGTTGGTGATGTAGGTCACCTTCCGATCAGTCTTGGACTTGACAACACCATCAGTCACGGGTTTGGAGTCCTGGTCGGCAGTTTCAATGCCAAGTTGCTTCACATGCAGACCAATGTTCTGTCGGGCTTGCTCAAGCACCGGTGCTGTCTGCTGCTCCGATAAGCTCATCTCAGAGTGCAAGAACTCCTTCAAGACAGCGAGAATCTGATCTGTGTTACTACCGGAGAGACCAGCGCTCTCAAATACAGAGCCCAGGCGGCTCGTATCCACGGCAAAGCCGGCGCTCTCCAATTGCTTTCCAAGTAGAGACACCAGCCGGGACTGCTGGTCTTTGCCTTCAACTTTGGGTTGCGCACCCCCTTGAGCATTTAGATAGATGGAAAGTTTACCCCGGGTGGGCGAGCGAGGGTCAATAAGCCGCTTATAAAAGTCCACGATATCAGCCTTAGTCAAAGCCCTGACGTTGGCCGCATCGCTTTCATTCTGTAAGAAGTCGAAATATTCCGAGCCGATGTGACTCCAGAACCGCGATGTCTCGGAGCTCAGATTCTTGAGTTTCTCCAGTCTCTTGTTGATCACGCTTCGCTTGTGACCCTCAAAATCCTTATCGGACATATTGTTCAATGTCTCTCCTGTTTGAATGAGGAAGTTATCGATACGTGACTCGAGATACTCGGCCGTACGCTCACTCTGGATAATGACTCGGTAACCAATGGTGGTGGCGGAATAGCGTGCACCACTCCAAACAACGTATCCAAGCTGCTCCTTGCTTCGAAGTTGATCAAAAGCAGGTTCATCTGTCATCTGTGCAAACAGCAAGAGCTTTGCTCGGAGCACATCATCTGTGATACTTCCAACATAAACATAATACTCAATGCAGTGGTTGATATTTGCGGGGTCTCGGAGCGTGCGTTCGTAGACATAATTGCTTCCAGGAGGGATGATAATGTTTCGCCTCACGTGCCACTGTGACTGGGGCAGAGGGCGGCTATGCAGAATGTTCTCCACCACGTCTGTCATCTTAAGGGCATCCTCCTTGTACAGGTTGCCATGCGCTAGGACCTCAATATGATTCTGGCTGAGTAGCTGGGGGAAGAAGTTCGCGATATCCCCCGGTTCGATATGCTCCAATTCAGCAGCGTATTGTTCGTTGATCCATGTCTTCTCAGAGGTCAAATATCTGGTATAATCACCGACCTGATAGAACGGCTGTTGATACTCTGCGTTGCGATATCCCCGAGACAAGCGTTCCTTTATGATGTGGAAGCGATTCGGATCGACAGCCAAGTCGCGCATGCTCGTAAATACTTTTTCCAGCAGAACAGCCATCTTGTCGTTGTACCCTCCAACAGACACGTCCAATCCGAAGACACTGGCGGAGAGGTGATAGTCAAGCCCAGCAAGTTCAGCGTCGTACGAATATTCCACCAAAGCATCCTTGACAAGTTCGCAATACAGCTTCGATTTCACCAAGTTAGCAGGGGTGGCCCACGCTAGCGGGTTTCTGAGCGTGATATGGACAGTGCCTTTGGGTACCCAGAAACGGTCATCTTTCTTGAACCAGAGGCGCACATGGTCATCATGACGAATGAGCTTGGGTGTCTTTGCTGGCTCTGATACTTCTTTCTTCTCCACCGAGAGTCTAGTTGGAACGAACTCGTTCTTGTGGGGCATATGAAGCTCAGACAGTCTAGTCTCTGGAGTGGTAGTCAAGGCTTTTCTGATGTCGGCCATGAAGTCCTGGGGTATTTTTCCAACTTTGTACTCGGTACCGTACCACTTCTCCTTGGAGTCCCAGTCTCCCGGATACTCCTGAGAGACAATAATCAGCCGGAAGTTGTCAGGCTGAAGGTATGACAAAGCCTCCTTGATAAGGTCGGGGTCGAACTTGCGCAGGAGGGAACCACTGAGAAGCCATTCTCTGGGAAGGGGCTTCTGCATGACGCTACTCAGTCGACTGGTGAATCGACTGGCAGGGGATTTTTGTTTGAAGCGGAATTCAACCTCGGCCAAGTTCTTCATCTCATCGAAAACCCACTGCTGCGGCTCCCTTTCCTTCAACATCGCGATATACTGGAAGACCACCTTGGCTACCTCTCGGTACTGCTGCAATCCCTCTTTCGTCAAACGAATCGAGATGGTGAAAGCGGCTGATCCAGGACAGATGGGCATGACGCCGGCAGACAACCCGTTGGCCCATCCCTTCGCCTTGATATAAGCCAAAATGCTGCCAGGTCCTTCGTGGCCAATCAGGTGACTGATATACCGACTTGGTTGATACTCGTAGAGGGTCTCCTCATCCAGGAATGGGAAGTAAATGTCCAAAGAGCGGGTGTCCATGACGGGCTTAGCGAAGATTTGAATCCCCAAATCC